AATAAAAGAAAATATAAATAAAAAATAAATAGTTTGTTTGTTTATGTTATGAGAGTGCCTTGTGTCAGGGAGAGCCAGCAGTTAGTTTGATTAGAGCATTAACTTGCTAAACCAATTGCTATCCTAAATGCAATTGAGGTGGTCTAAGATTTGCAACTCCGATTTCTCTGCCAGGCTAGTGAATAAGTTCCATAGAGTACCATGTATACCCTAGGTCTTTGAGATCACTCAACTACAGGCGCGGACATCGACACAGAAAGTGGAGAATTGCCACCTCCTCATTCTAATCGCAGCAGCTTCTGCAGAAGGAACTTTGCTGAGGTCAGTTAGAACTCTTACTGGAAATCTTTTGAGTTTTTCACGGCCTTCCATCGTTTTTTTTTTTCTTCTATCTAAACCCGGTCATACTAAGCTTGACTTTTCATAACCATTTCAGTCGATCCATAAGTAATTTCTAACGGCTAGTCATGTACATACATGTTTTACAGAGTTGTCTATCCCGTTTATTGACATCTCAGAACTATACCTGGGCATCTCATCAGCTGACCCGTTTCCCTGTTATATTTATTTGCCCGGAAATTAAGGAAAGCGATGTTAAGATAGTCCAGTGATGCCAATGCGGTTCGGTATTTCTTTACAATTCCCGATTATACTACTTTGGAGCCTACTGCTTTAACAGCCGCTTGACTAAGATAGTGGCTTTCCTTATTTATAGAGTAAATATCAGCTCAGAACGTAGTGCATTCGTTTGACAGCCAATCCTTAACCTAAATGTGCAACAATTACTGGTGGAAGATCATGTTAAGCTAATTCTAAGGTGCGCTACCCAACCCGATAGCGCCTAGTGACCCTCCCTAATGGGATACCTGCAATTTTGTTGATGCTGCCCGGAAAGTGATTGTCAATCAATCTTGAAATACTACTCAGACCCCCATTAGGTTTTGTGGTCCATAAAGTTCCGCAGTATACCTGCCAAAGAGGCATTATTTGCAAAGCTAATCCTACTTTTGTAGTTACATATGTATGTGTCAAAGGGACCGCGGTTAAACGATTAAAACTGCCTAATCAATATTCGCGTAACTTCGAGTTTGATATTAATAGCTTAGCAGAATAACTGTTTAATATTGTAAGATAGAATGCTAGTTTATTGGCCTACAAAAATATGGAGGAACTAGCTGGAAAGATACTACTAGTCCTCAGAAAGCAATTACGCATAAAATCCACAAATGTAATTAATTCGATTAAAGGTAAGTATATATTTACATACTTACATAACGAAAATATTTGTCTGCAATGGCCATGAATCCATTAGTGATTCGATTGCTCATTTCAGGCATAGCGAATTGTTGACTAAATATTTATGTCTAATTTGTCAGTTATCAAATAATTATTACAGTACAAAAATAGAAAAAAAAAACTCAAAACGCACACCGCATAATACACATATGTATAGGTCATTCCATGGAAAAGAGGAAAACGAGATAAATTTTAAAATTGCCAAATTATTTCCATTTAAGTAGTAATCTCTTTGTAAATTACTACATTTCATTCATCTGTTGAAAGTTATTATGAAAATAAAAAGAAGTTGCAATTTTTGTCTATGGAAAGGGCATGTACCACCAGTTAAAAATTTAAATATTTTAAATTTTACCACACAAAAACATTTTTCACGAAAATTAAATATTTTGGCTAAAATTCATCTTTGAGTGCACAAAGGTAAAATGGCGTTATTTTCAGTGTCCCACCAGTCCCATTCATTCAAACGATAGTTACATAAAGCTAAGAAATCGTTTGGTATTTTTGTTAAAGCCATTTTATACATTAGTTATAGTTCTATGTTAAATACAAATATCTTTCGCTATTGTATATGTTCCGATGACATAGTTATAATACACAATTAAACAAATTCTGAAGTAAAATGTTCCACCAGTCACAATGGAATTGCCCATATATATATATGTATATACAAAATGCAACTACAATACAGCAAATCTGTTGTCAACCTTGGTGCAGTCGATTAGCTTATCTGGGTACTTCACCGTACCTATAAAGAATAAAGTAAGTGAACAGCCCTATAAATAAAAAAATTGCAAGTACTAAGCGGTCACATTCGCACAGATTCATGTTTACATAAGGGTAATAATAGTGTATATGCATGTATATACATATGTACATATGTAAGTAGATATATGAGACATACGTTTTCATATCGGACACCAAATTTGGAGATACACTTTCGATTGGCTTCAAAATTTTTTTTATGGGTTCTATCCATGAAATAAGCTAACACGTGTTCGAGGAATTTTTTTCGCCTTTTTCCTGGGAGATATGATCTGTCCAAGTTTGCATTTTTTCGTGATTCTGACTAATCATGTACTCCTTCAAATAGTTATATCTCTATCATGTATAGAAGCCACAAAAAAAATTTGAAGCGAATCGGAGACATGACATAGTTTTTTTTCGAAATCCGTCTGACTTAAAAAAGAATGGCTCACATACATATTACATACGAGTAAGTTTTAATAAGTTATATATCGTACAGTTACATTGATAATAAACTTTTTAACAATTCAGTGGTGCGATTTTTAGCTTTTGTAATCTAGATTCCACTAAAAAGTCGAATAACAAAATAAGCTGTCTCACATACTCTAGTATTTAGCAACGATAACCGATTTACAATTTTAGAGCAATTATACCATACATATTTCAAAATTAAGTTTGTAAACTCTTAATTAAGGAATTGGAAATGCCAAATCCTTATTCACCTAGTCTTTCCATCGCAGTTGAGGTCTCCATAAAACGCTGCAATGTTTATTTTGCTCATTTAATTTTTTGATTGCATTTAAAGGAAACTACTGAAAGATATGCGTATATCAAAGCCTTTCCAATACCTTGCCTATGGTACTAATGCTTTTTCAAACCTCTCTTACATACGTTTTTCAACATACTCTAAGATTTGTTGGACAATTTCTACTGTAATACTGCAATAGAAAGAAAATTAATAGTAACATTATGTGTCGCGTACACAAGCAATTACAAAATACTTAACGCATGCTAAACTCCTATGTTCTAGCAACGACTTGTATTTGTATAGAGGTGTGAATTACCTATTAGTAGGACCGAGATTCAAGCATACTGCAAATAAAGGCTTCTCATGAAATTCATCTGCCGCTCGGAGGCAGCGTGAAAACATGAAAGCGCTTAGAAAATGTGTAAAGCGCTAACAGTGTTTTGTATGTGCATATGAATATACAAACATAATAAAAAACATTCCCATAAAAACAAAAGGCAAAATTTTTCCACTATCCCCCGTCTAAAACCCCAAATTGCTTCATGTAGGTAAATCACTTAAAACTAATATTTCTATTCTCTGAGCACTGCTGCAGCTTTAAATCCTAATCAATATTTCGATAGTTTCATTGTTTTGCCACTTTTATTTCACTTCCAAACATTTCTATAACTTTTAATATACTTGCACAAACTCCAAATTAAAATTGTCTGCTATAAAATGGCGCCAAGCATATGACATTTCCGTTCAGGAACTTAGCAGCAAAATGAGTAGCTATCGCAGTTTGGAAGCCACGGCAGTAGTGTTTCCTACATTGAGAAGGCATTCAATTTATCGATTTGTACGCAAGCCGCAAATTCGGTGAAAAATTACAAAGTGAAACGTTAGAGCTTGCTGCTTATCACTTATCCATAGCTGTTAACATTTTCTATGTGTAGAAACTAACTACTAACTGATAACAGCGTATATTAGTACAAAAATGTATATAACATTTAACTCGCTTTATGCGTCCTTCAGCCAATCGATAACTATCGACTATAAAAAGTCACTTTTCCACCACTGCTACCAAACAGCTGTTTCCTAAAATTTCCTTTTGTTGCAGTCTGTCAGCAATTCATTTGGCTTGTATTTTATCGAATTTTTATAAGTTAATAACATCAACAGCGGATAAAAATGGGCACAAAAATTGTCAACCGCATAATGTTAGTCACGGGGCTTATAAGTTTGTTGCATGCCGCCTTTTCCGCAGCACACCGTAAGTATTTGTGAAAAAAGAGATGAATGCTCCTCAATCGGAAACAAATTTTAATTCATTGAATTCCAGATCGCACTTATATGCGGCTNTTTTAACTTATGGCAACTTTTTTATGTCCAGAAACAAGCAAGTAAAACGTGCAAGCGTCATCAAGGGTTAAGGTAAAAGAGCTGACAAGTCCGGCAGCATGTGGAATTTAAAAACAATTTTCGTCGATACGGTAACCTTTTAAGTCAAATCAGAAAAGGCCAGTTCGACCAGTGTTGTGTTTTTGCATTTCATTACACAAATTTTTCTTGTTGCGTGCGGTCGTTGTGCATTTCGTATCGGACGTTTAGCGGTAAAAATAACGGATATTGTTTATTATTGGAAAACAAAACATTTAATTTAACAAAAAATACATAGCCTTGCTATAGTGATTGAACTAGTTTCGAAGTGATAAGTGTAATTTACAGAAATACGTTTCTGAAAATAGAGAAAAACTTGAAATTTCCTACCCGCCCACACTTGCGTGAAAACTGAAACTCGTCGAATTGTCCTTTGCGCGTATTTGTATTTTTAAACATTTTCTGTATCCTTGATATCCCATCGTTGCCGAAAAGCAAAGAATTTTAAGTATTTGTCGGTGTTATTGTGCCTGTTTTCTCTGTTATCCTTTTTACGTCGTCGTTCGTCCTCGACCGTGATAAGGGTGTGTATTTGATGACCTACCCGCTGTAAAAGAATTGGAAGGAAAATATTAAAACAAACAAGCAAAACACTTGTGTACACCTGCAACTGCATTGAGCCGTTAAAGTGCATAAAGCATAGCGAATAAGGATATACGCCCTGTTTTGCAAAAGTGAACATTTGATAGTTTTCTTTGCACAACTTATACATATAGTGAAAAAATGTCGGTGTCATCAAATGCATCATCTGCATCCTCGTCNATTTCTTTGCACAACTTATAGTGAAAAAATGTCGGTGTCATCAAATGCATCATCTGCATCCTCGTCAGTAACCGGTGTGCCCATCAGCAATGGCAGTGGCAACCGACCTTCGCTGGGACGTCCGGGTAGCTGCGATTCCTCAGCAGGCAGTGATTCATCAGAATTAACACACATTTTGAATCGCAGACAAGTAATTATGGACTCGCAAGAGGCTGGCATTGAAGTGGCACATCAATTCAAAGTGGTTAATGTCTACACGGAATTCCATGAGTTCTCCAGAAAACAAATCAAAGATTATCAGAAAACATTTAACAAGTAAGTGAAATGAAAAATATATTATTATTTAGTATATCGCTTTGGCAGGCAATTACAAAACAATTTTATGCAACTCCACTTAGTTTGTGTCTGCATAGGAATCATACAACATTCTAGCTGTTTTACTTTATTATTGAAATTCTATTTCCAAGTGTTTATTTATATAAATCTCTACTGCCAATAAACAGCGCACGAAGGCCAGCATCCTTGCCAAGGTCGCCAACAACAAAACGCATAGGAAATTCTCTAACGCACAGTGTGGGTGTGGGTGGTGCGATTAGCAAAGAAAAAGGGCGCATACTACGCAGTACTAAAATGTTTTTCAGAGCGTATGTCTTCTCATCTATGCAAACAAAGTCAACCGACGTCATTGAGCAGCAACCACCTTCAACCCATCCTCCAGCCACTACCATTATCCCAGAAATTGCAATGCAGTCACGAGACTGCAATGAAGCGTAAAAAAATTCACACCAACGACATCCAGCGGGTGCATTATACAAAAAGAAATGTAAAAAGAAGCACGGCTCAGCTGTCAGCAGCACCACAGTGCTGGGGTAGTCATCAACAGTGGTTGTTGTGGTTTGAGCCGGTAGCGTGTTGGTGTGGGGAGCGATGTGTTCGCGCTCGCGTATGTTTGCTTTTTTTTCTGGTGGCAGAGCGTGTCACATTTTTTTTTTACTGCCATCGGTGTTGGCTGCTGATACAGCTAGATATTGCTACTTTTGCTTCTGCTTCTGCCTGACTCGTATGACATTGCATTTGCATTGTATGCACTTCCTCAACTTTTGAAGACTGTTTAATAATTTATGAATTAACCGCATATCGCATCGTTTATAATCATTGGCAGTTTCAACACGACGCTAGAGACGTCGAAGACGATGACGACTAGACTGAATGACTGTCTGGGTGATTGTCTATTTGTCGCATAGCTTAACATCAGCCGCCTGCATTCACTTCTTATGCACATCTTCATTTTATGTGTGTATGCCTTGTATGTGCATGCTCTATGCTATGTATAATCTTCATTATAATCACGGTCATTTGGATGCACATACCAATCGGCGGCAGCCAGACATACTGGCGCATTTACCAACGATTTTTTTTTGTTACTTCAATTTTATAAAGGCAAACACATATATGCGTATGTATGTTGGTGTGGTTATAAATATGTATATTGGATAAGTGCTTTTATAAATGTACTATGCATATGATTTACATTAGTGCCTTTCCGTTTACCACAAAATTTACATAATTTTATTTGAGTCTCTAGTATGAATTTACATATTTACATAAGTCATGCATAAAATTATTATGCTTAGATAGATTCAAAAACATGAGATATGTACTTATGTATGTAAATGTTCAAGGTTCTTCGTTGGTGACGTCTTCTTTCCAATTTGTATTTTGTCCTTTTTTATTCCCAGAGAAAAATTCAAGCTTTTCTTAGAAAATATGCGAGTATTTCATGCTTATCATACACGCATTTAACCATTATCTTAAACGCATTATCTAAAATTATACGTTTCGCTAGAATTTTAAAGAACTTTATAATATATCTGCGAAAGTTAATTTAAAGTAAGTAAGCAGGTTTATCATAAATGATAATACTATGATAGCTGGTGTAAATACTGTTTATTTGTAAAGTTTTTTTATGATGTATCAACTTCCGAACTGATTGCCTTTAATTACAATTAAGTAATCAATAGCAAAAATAATGAAAAAAAAATGAAATTAAAATAAAAACCTTAACATAAAATAGTGCTAAAGAAAATAAAATACAGCAACTGATACTTAGATAATAAGAAAAGGGTTGTTGTTGTTGTTGGAGCAGCATACAAGCTCCCCAAAGAGTTTTTGGGGAGTGTTGTTGGAGTGACAGTCCTTGGCCAAATATAAATCTGGGTCGTTCCGGTTACGTAGACCCGACTGTCGTGGGAACGATAAGAAAAAGGTTTGATAGCTCAGTTATGCATACTTTGCATTGCACTGCATAGCATGTAATTTTTACTTTGAAATCAAAAACCAACAGACTTCTATGTATATACATACATACCGTCTCAGACTTCTTTCTATTTTTTTTCTATCTTTTTAACATGATACAGCCTTTTTATCTCGTCTTTATTTGTTTATATTGTTTATTCACTTTACTACATACATACATATGTAGTGTACTTATGCCTTTATCTAAAAGTACTATTCTTGTTTACACTTATCGCAACATGGCACCAGCGTACTTTGCAACTACTTGAAGCGCCTCCAAGGCAACTTAACACGATTATGTACATATTTGCTCATTACTTCACATTTACTTTTCTGCAACACTTTTAATTGTCTTCATTTTAATTTGTTAAATACATAAATTTTGCGTCTTCTTCTATCTTTTGAACTGCTGTTAACATGTTTTAGTGCATTTGTAGATAGATAATCAGCGCTAACTTGTCGCTAAACACAAAAATACTTGTCGTTCCGACGACGACAATCGGGCGTACGAGTGTTATCTGTTAATTCGGTCTGGAAAACTCTGCTGAGGTAAAGGAGAGATTTTTATAGAAAATTAATTTCTGTATGGAATTCTAATGGACAATAGGCAGAATATTGCGAAGGTATAATCCAGTTCACGTAAAGTTGCTGAAATAGTGTCCAGAATTTTCGAATGACCGAACGTGCCCAACAGATAATTTCTAGAGCTAAAAGCTCAACCGGTAAATAAAGTTTCTGTCAATTTTTAAACCCTTTTCGCATTCTGTGTACTCTTGTAACCGGTAAATTTTGTTACCATCTCATAAGCTGATAACACAATTCTTCATAGCTGAATTACTGAATATTTTAACTGCATTACCAACGTACCTAGAATCGCGGTGACAAGAACTGGTAACATTTTTTGGTAATAAAATTTTCCGGTTACAAAATCTTCGGTAACGTGCAGAATAGACGTGTTACTGTGAAGAATTATGCCGACATTATTAACCTCATTGGAGAGTGTAAGCCCCACACCATTAAGAGAGGGTGACTGAAAATACTGCAACCGACTCGAGTACTTTTACAACAACAACAACTAAAATATCTAAGTGAAGCTTTGAAAGGGAGCATCAGTTATGTCCAAATTTATATACCCGAGCGCACTTGTGCACAAGGGTATTATAACTTTGTTCACATAACGTTTGTTTGAATCGGCAAAACGAATCGAAATAGGTATAGACAAATGTATACATAAATGATCAGAATGAAAAAGAAATCGATTAAGCGGTGAATGTCTAGATATCTTAACGAAACTCGGTGTGTGCACTTCTTTTGAGCGTAGGACGTATGGTATTGAAAATGGGAAAAAATCGGACAATAACCACCTCCTAATTCCCATATAGAGAATATTTTCAGAAATACTAAAACTGCGATATTTTGGTAACTAGTGAAGCTCATTCACTCAAAATTGATATTTACAATGATTTTAAGACGAAAAATAATAATATTAGAAAGTTTTGAAAATGGGCGTAGCCGCGCCCACTTATCGATTAAATGTGTATATCTTAAGTAACCGCTCAACCAATTTCTTTCAAGCTGTCCACTTCGTGTTGGCCTTCGTAGAACATACCAAATGGTTGAAAATTTTTTAACAACTACAACCCATCATCTTATTTATTCAAAATTGATGTTTGCAATAATTCTTTAGCACAAAATACGTTTATGATAAAATTTGGAAAATGGGCGTGGCACCGCCCACGTATGACCACATACCAATCTCGATATGATTGTTATGCTTTCCACGTAAAAGAAAAACTCTGAAATTACACCCACTTTTCAATCAACGGTAAATTTCAGAAATGCTAGAAACTTCGATATTTCGAAATTTAAGTACGCTAATTTGCTCAAAATTGATACAAACAAAAATCCCTTGAAAATAAGTAGCATTATTATTTCATTATGTCTAACTGAACATTCTATCGAAGATGTTTGAAATAGGGGTAAAACCACCGCTGCTTTCCATGTAGCAGTAGTTTTAGGAAAGGTGAAAAAACTATCCGCCCGAACTTAGACTTTCTGACTTGTTTAAACATTTTTTTTCATTTTTAACTCGTTTTAGTTTCGTTATCCAGAGTTAGTATATTGAATAATCATCTGCAGCGGATTTCTTCAACGTTGTATGTTTTATTTTAGCCTTTCACCCGGCTATCACACCAACTGAAAAGCTTATCTTTTTACTTATCTTTTGTCTCTCTTTTTTATTGCTCTGCAGTCGACATATATTTTGATGGTGAATTTAGATAATTTTCTTAAACAAGATTCCACAGAATTATATAAGACTTTGATATTCTATACACTCACTTATTTAAATAGTCCATGAACACATTTGCACACAGCTCAAACATAAATACATACTATATATACATATGTATATGATTGTATATCAAGGTTATTAAGAAAAGTTAGTGATTGATAAGCTCTACTTAGCTGATTAGCAAGGCAAATGAGGTGATTATTGGCACATATTTATGTATGCATTTAAAATCATTCTTAAAATTAGCATAGGCAGTGGCTATAATAGATAGTTAGCTGCTGCTAAAACACAAAAACCTAGCTAACTACATACGTACAAACCGGAATTTGAATAAAAAGCTTTGTGTTCATCCCGGACTTACTACCCATTGCAATCTTTAAGAGAAGATTGGAATAAGAGCCCAAATAATTTATTTAAGTACGAAAAGCGGCGGTGTCGTCTGCGATGAACTCTCCATCGGATTATATGCTTGCAAATAGAATCCCAGTATTCATTCGAAAATAGTCGAGAAGTAACTGACATTCAATTCCACACTATCAAGCTCCTATGGGTTCCAGGCCATAGCACAATTGCAGTCGGCTGCAAGACCGATGAACACGACACTCCTGAGAAGTTGTCACCGGGTAAATCAACTATGAGAGAGCTTGATTGGCTACGTTTTCTTTGTTGCTAAAAATATAGGCGTCTAATCATCTTACCGAGCTCTGAGTGAAAGCGCTAGAGTGCA